TGATATTTGACGAAAACCAGTCCTACACCGCGGCGAGATGTAGGAGGGAAAGAGAAACTCCTATGACGACGTTCCACCACTTGACGCTTTTTGTGTGGACGCAATGTCGGATAACAGAACATGGCCCGCCGGCTTTGCAGCCTCGGACACGGTGATACTCGGCAGCCTCTGGCCCCGAGTTGAAGTTGGGCATTAGCGCAATGTCAAGAATGGTTTCACGATGATGATGCAAGCTCTTGCACTTGCCGCAGCCCTCGGAAGAGCAAGATTTTTGGAGAGCGGCCGGGGGTTTACGGGAGGAGGATGATCCGGACATGACACAAAGTGGAACAAAGATCCGCGGAGAGAAGACAAAGGAGGGAGGGGGTGTATGCAGGAGGACAGGGGCGCGGAGTTGGGTAAGGGATTGTGGAAGAGATGACGGCAAAAGGAGAGGTCTATACAGTGATGGTGGGTGGACGGGGTAGAGAGGAGGGAAGAGGGGAAGGCGGGAGAGAGGGTGGACGGGAGAGAGGGCAGACGGGAGAGAGGGCAGACGGGAGAGAGGGCGGACGGGAGAGAGGGCGGAAGAGGGAGCGGGAGAAGAGAGAAAGGGATGGCGGAAGGGATGGCGGAAGGGAAGGCGGAAGAGTTTGGGTTAGGAGGGAGGGGTGCTGGGCAGGCGGTGGAAGTGGTACGTGTAGTGAAGTGGGCTCTTGAAGGGAGGCAAGAGGGGGGAGAAAGGGAGAAAAAAATCTACTTCGGGCTCACGGTAGGAAATAAGGGAAGAAGTAGACGGCCACGGCGGCTGCGGCGGCAGACGCAGTGCAGTGAGCGCGACCTGGCGGTCGATGATTGGAGCGTGGGCGGAATGCTGCGAATCGAGATGCAAATCAGGGGTCTCGAGTGCGCCGCACGCTGTGCCGCCCGCGTCACACACACGCGCCGCTCGCGTCCGCCCACCACGCATTTGCGCCCGCCACCAAGGAAAACAAAACAACCCCCCCCCCGCCGTGGCCTCTCAGAGTCCCCACGTGTTCAATCTTTCCACAGTTCCGCCCCCTCTCAGGCTGGCAACCTCCCGTCCTGTCGCTTCCCCGCCTCAACTCAATCTGTAAAACCTCTTGGGATTCTTCTGTACCGTTCTGTATGGCACCCCAGTAATTTTTAATCTCGCGAGATCATCCACCACCCCCTATCATTCTCTCACCTTACCCATATCTTCGCCATCCATAACCACCTGCCGCCCCGTGCGTCGCGGGCGTTGCGGATCCTTTCCCCCCCAGCTCACCAATCGCGCAACTTCCTGCGTCTTCACTCAAGTTCCCCCCCTCCTCGCCGAACAATACAGTATTTACACGTTCGGCCTCCGACCATGACCATGAATACAGTACTGTATAAAACTAACAATACGGTCCGTTGATTCCCCCTCCCCGCCCCCAACCCTCGGTCTCTTCCCCCCGGCGAGTAATAGGGACAAGTTACCCCCGCCGCCGACACACTGCCTACGTATTCATCTCCTGCGAGGATCGAAGCCGCACTCTGCCACCCTACTTTTTAATCATTATGCCTCACGCCCCTCACTGTACAACGCCTCGTGCACCAATCCTTCGCTTGTACTGTTACTGTACCCTTCGAAGGGTACACTACGAGTACACGTAACTGCACTACTGTACTGCTCTCTCCGCCATCCTCTGTGTCATGCGTTGATCCCCCTATGGAGCCGATGCTTGAAGTAGAAAATATCTCGACATTCGCTGAGCAGATATCCTTTGTCAGTTGTTCACCATCGATCTCAAGTCGCCCAGCGTTGTCCACTTTCACTTGCGCCTTGCAGTATGGAGAGTATTTCAGTTCCCGCGCCATCAGTCTGTAGACATCCGCAGGCTCCACCCCGGACACCTCCATCAGCTTCGGGTCGCTTTGCGTCATAACAACCACCGCTCCAGGCGGTGCCCCACGCAAATACTTCTTGAGTCCCCTTAAAACATGCAGTTCATGGCCATGTGTGCCGATCCTAATGACGTCCGGTTTCAAGCCGTTAACAGCCAGTATGTCATCCCCTGCGAACATGTGCACTAAATCAACCTCCTTTCCCACACCGACATCTTTCGTGACTGGTTCAGAACTGAGAGCCGCGTCATCCTTTCGCGCGGGTGGAACGAAAATCTCGAGGTTCTGTGTCCTGTCTGACAGTGCCGCCTTGACCAATGAAAACCAGCATTTCCCAACCACCCGTTCAAATGTGCTGTCATACAAAGCACGTCTATGTTTTTTGCCACTGGCTCGACTGCAACGACTGAGTGCATTTTGCTCATAGCAAGGACGGGCATCGTGACCTTGCCGATATTTGCTCCTACGCCTAAGAGCGTGGCGGGGCGCAGAAGCTTGGACATGATGCGGACGGCCTCGTGAGTGCCAAGTGTGAGGGCACTGTAGTCGAGCGAAGAATTTGTGGTCCATGAGACGAAAGAGGCACCGACGCCTTCGACACGAACCGCAAAAGTGCGTCCGGAATCGCCATAAGTAAAGTGGCGGCAAGTATTGATGAGGGAAGTGGTGTAGCCGCTGTCATGCCGATGACGAGGAAGCTGGGGGGGAAAGCCGTTGTCGGGGCTCTGACTGAATAGAATGAAGGCGACGAGGGTAACGAGACCGAGTGCAAAGGCCAAAAGCAGGCGTAGATGCGGGCGCAGGAAGAGGGATTTGACATTGCGGGAAAAGGGTTCGGAAATAGAAAGGCTACAAACTGCAGCCGGAGGCTCAGCGGCGTGGGACTTGCTGGCGTCATGGCACCAAATTCAATGCTCTGAGAAAACAACCGAAGGGGGATGGGAGGAGAGCCTGAAAAATATGTCGACCACTTGAAGACGGCTGCTCTTTTTGCTCAAAGCGAATACGTAGAAGGCTATAGCCAAGGACTTCATTGGACTCATTTGCGATGCACAGATAGGACTCGCTTTATGTCAAAGGCCTCAAGAATAATAGCTTTGTTTGATGGGCGAGTCTTGTATTGGAGGTGAGACTGGGAAGTTGCAAGAGCAGTTTTTGTCATTACCGACTTTTTCTGTTTCTAGTCTTTTGACCGGGCCACCACCACAGTGCGGACCTCTCAGTGTCTCATACCAAACAACACTGCCCTTGTGTAGCCAAACTTATCAGGGCTTCCCCTGTGATTGCTCCGCAACTTTCTTCGCATTTCTCCCATTCGAAGGTTTCCCACCTCATTGAACATATCTATTCCGAACACAAGCACAACAATGACTTCTCACCACACTTACATGAACATATCTCCTTTACCAGATTTACATTCATTTGCTTCACCGAACATTAACCAACATGTTTCCAACACGTCATTGCCAACGCCCCAAACCGCACCAATTTTCCGCCTAATCTACGTCGTCCAGTTCACCGTCATCCTACTCTAACATTTCATTCTCCGCATTCGCTATCTTTCCACTTTTATATCCGCAAACATTTCACCTCCCCTGTGCTCACTCCGTCTATAACCCAGACCCCTCCAGCAACATCCCCACGCTCTGCGCAGCACCTGCCCGGTTTAGTAGCTCCCTCGCTCGGCTTTCATGAATACATGACACTGTGAGCACCCCCGAGCTCCAAGAGGCCTTCGAAGACTCGGGCTCGCAGTAGAGAGAAATTCGGGAGATTTCCGTATTCTCGTTTCGGAGCAGGGAGTGGTATTTGAATATTCCAGTGCCCGATCCTATCGGATACGGCTCAAACGGTGAATACATGTGGACACCAACGAACAGTACCTCTTAGCTCAAGCGTTTTCTGAAGTTGGTAGTCATTGGAAGCGCTAGCTTGTTGCAAAAATACTATGGCGATAACTGGCTCTCTGTTCCTCACATGTGTATGGCTTCCCTGTTGAAAAAATATCCTTATCTTATTGATGCCCTTCATTACAAGATGGGTGAAATTGGACAGGGGAGCTATAGTAGAGTAAGCTGAGCAATCGTTCGGGGCTGGCATCGTGGAACCAATGAAGTGCGAGGAGCAAGTATGCTTTCGTTTCGTAATCGATATTGGCAGGGGACCGAGAAGAAGTAGGAGAAATATACTCACAAGCGGCTTAGTCACATTCTTCTAACCATCGAATTGGCACATGTGTAATGAGCCGCGTCGCAAGCCGTTCTACCACTATATCTATGTCGACACGCATTTGGGTGGCTTGGTCGAAATATTTCGCAGTGCTCGAGATTCGCGATCTGCTTGAAAATCGGTGCATGTCATACAATGGGTCAACTGGTTTGAGGGACATGTATTGTCCGAGGAGGCGTCGAGGATGTACTGGAAGATTATATTGCTAAAATACGGTCAGCTGCAGGACGTTTTGGAGTCAGAGGACTAATAGGGGACACGGCCCAATACGATGTTCCGATGGATGGCTCGCCTTGAGGGGGAGCGTCCCGTTCGGATGTCGATACCACGGGGATGAAGAAGGCAGTCCGCATCCACTTGAGTGTTGAAGTGCTCATGCAAAAGGAGTTCGATTTTACTCATGATCATCCACCACAGCCGGTATCGCAACAAGGAAAATAGCCCGAACAGGTGTAATTTGAAGTGGCTCATCCTCACTCAAAACTTTTGTTCACGTCAATAGATTGTAGTTACTAATTGCCGATCATCCCGGTACGGCACGAAGCGGTATAATCCATCGCTGAACTTCAGTGAACCCTCCAAATAGTGAAATGTGTTCAATACGGGTGCTTATCAATTCCACAATGCAATGTCTACCCGGCCAATCCCCATGCTCGGACCAAGACTATCCTTCTCCTGTCTCTAATTTCTGAAACGGTTCGTTCAGACAAGTTTCAGAGACAAAGACTGATCAAACTCCCGTCGTGGCGCGCAATCTGCTTATCAGTATATCGTGATTTGACACAGACATGCATCCCCAACTAGGGGACACCATCAAACGAGTGTACAAGCAAAACTATGTTTACGAGAAAATCCTTCTACGGTTCAAGGGCGCTTCCGGCACACACTCCCACGCCACCCTATGTATCGTACGCGGCGCCAATGACATGGTTCTTCATGCCCATCGGAAGCACAGACCCCTCCGATACCAGTCCCGAATCGGACATCCCAAGCTTTGAAAACTGCTGCACGCAATAGTCCCTCACGTTGAGATGCGCCGAATCCTTCTTCCCCGAAATACCTGTACCCTTGCCGATGTCATAAATTGTCTCGTTGGACAAAACAGCCAGCGGGGGCAAACCGGTCATTCCAACGGCAAGCATGTTGAATAGAATATCCTCGCAGTTCAAATTCTCGTCTACAATTTTCGTAAGTCGCTTTGGTAGAAACAAATTGTATGCCATGAGAATGGACCGATGGGAAAACATCCCCTTCGTTAGGACAATGTTATACCCTGGGGATACGTCTGTGGAATAGGTCCCGGGGGTGGGATGCCATACTCTAGGATAAAAGCCGACCAGTCTCGACGGGTTCTGCTTCCACACTTCAAACGCCATTCGAAACGCAGGCTCTGGCAAAAAGATATCATCATCGCAAATGTAGACGCAATTTGATGACAGTTGTGACGACAAATACCGATTGTTCAATGAGTCATCCTTCGGAAACAAAAACATGACTTTCTTGTGCGGCGCCTTCTCGTGGGCCTTTTTCGCGTTTTGCCACACGACATAAACCTCCTTGACAAAATCCAATTTCGCATACCAAACCGACAACTCTCGCCAGCTCTTCCTATCATAGGTGGACAGCAGCACGGATACGCCGCCGTCCTCCCCCTCAGAATCATAATAGTGGTTCACAGAGCCGTCCCATCCTCCTTCATGCACTGGCCCCCTCATATGGCATGCCGCCGTTGGCACATCCTTCGCCATTTTGCACCATTCAACCATCGCCCTAATCGGAATATGCCCCCGCCCCTTGGCTTGCCAGAAGTTCCACGGTTTCGCATCACCCGAATAGTGTATAATCTTGGCGCCTTTGAACGCATCCCCGGACGCGGTGTGGAACGTGTTGTACTGCGTTGGCAGTGGAGTCCATGCATCGAAGCTGACAAGCGCGTTCAAAGCACCTTGATCGCCAATATTGTAGCTTCCCGCATGCGCGTAGTTTTGGACGATAAGACTATGCACGTAGCTGCTCGGCTCGATAACCATGACTCCCGTGTTGTAGTTCATGCCGACGGGGTCCTTGACGGCGGAGAAACCGGGGTAGTCAAAAAGCTCTGCGACATTGCGGCGCACAATGGTGTCGGCGTCTAAGAATACGATCTTCGACCACTCTGACAGACCCCAGAGCTGCAGTTTCAAAAACCGACACGGCTTGTTAATACTCATGCGATCCGTTGTCGAGTTGAACGGATACCGCAGGCTTTCGGTCTCGACGGCGCGCGCGTTTTTCATGGATTTCAAGCGTTTCAGGGAAGGGGCCGAGACAGACGGGGGGATGATAACGAGGAGGGGCTCCTTGTGGTGGGCGATGCGGAGGGAGTTGCCCAGCGCTTCGATTGCCGGAAGAGTCTCATCGTCGCAGAGGAGAGTCGCGAAGGCTATGGCCGATGGATTGGCGGAGTTCTGGAGAGCCTCAGCGCAGACACTGAGCGTGAACAGGAAGACGATGGGAGCAGGCGAGATGTGACGCATGATGGAGAGGCGCGGGGGGCAGAGGTGAGGGGGCAATAAGCTCGAACTGCGTGGCTCTGTGTTTGAGTCATCGCGATGACAGAGGAGTGTGGGACGAGGCGGCCCGCAGGTCAAGGTGCGAGGTGCTCCACGCGAGGAACTTGCACGCGGGCCGGCGGTTTCCCGGACCTAGAAGCTCTTGCCACTTTCCTGCAAGGCAAGAGCTTGAACAAGACAGACGTTGTAAGGGCTCCGTCAGACGGACTGGAAGTGCCAGATAATTTGATTTTTTCTCGCTGTATTCCCGAATTCAGATGCGACCCCATTGCCATTATCCCGCATCTCGCAATGAAGGGTGCCGCCTGGGCGAGCATTCCCCCGCCTTTGATTCCATCCACCCGCTTCATCCTCAGGAAACAAGCCGGCCATTGCTCCGAGATGGACGCTTCGAAAACATGATCCCACCGCATCCCAAACTGGCGCTCGTACTCGCCATCTTGGCAACCCTCGTGCTCACCTCCACCGCCCAACCCCCTCGCCCGGCACTGACAAAGCAAGCCTTTCGCCAGCTCCTCAACTACGCCTCCTTCCAACCAAGTCCGACCCCATCCGCCACGTCTTCTCCTTCTCCTATCTTTCATCCCCTCATCTTCATCCCCGGTTTCCAAGGCACCCTCCTCTCCCACCGCTCGCGTCCTCTCTTCCTCGCCCCCGTTACACCGTCTACCTACACTCAGCTGTACACGATCTTACGCACCATCCCCTTCCTCTCCCCTCTCTCTGTAGAATATCCTTCATCCACTTGCGCTCCTTCCCCACATTCGCATATCGGCCACTGCCATCCGCTCCCTGCGCGCGGCCCGGTGCATGCGCTTTTCACGTATCTACGAGCGAACGGTATGGCTTATGTCAGTGCAGTTGGCTATGACTGGCGCCATGATACATCCACCATACTGTCGGAAGCTTCTTTCACAGATCGGCTAGTGCGGAAAGTGGAAGAAGCGGGCCGGCCTGTTATCATCGCGGCACACGGGTACGGCTGCCCCCTAGCGGCCGCGTTTATGAATGCCCGCGATGAGTCCTGGAAGAAGAGGCACGTATTGCATTTTTTGTGCGCTGGGGCCCCGTTGCTTGCTTCTACTGCTGCTAGACAGGCGATCGCCAGGGGCGACGGGATGCTGATGACTGGCATGGCGCACCGGTATGTAGATGCGGCGGCAAACGTCAGAGAAGAGGGGAGGCTGGACTTTCGCGCGATGGAGTTTGAGCTCGGGTTAAGGCGGGGCAGGAGGAGAGACCATTTGCCAGTGGTTCTGGGCGTGTGGGATAGGAAGGAGGGCGGCACAGTATCCCGGGAGGAGAGAGTCAAGCTGGCGGAGAGGTTCACGGCGCTGAGGGAGATGAGCGCGGGCGTGACAGCAGAAAGGCCTGGGGTTAGGGTTACGTGCGTGGTAGGGGATAGAGAGGGGGATGGGGAGGGGGATGGGATGGTGGAGAGGAAGAGTGCAGAGGCGTGTGGAGACTGGGAAGGGGCCCGTGTAGAGAGGGTAGGCGCAGGGCATTTTAATCTTACGAGGATGGTGGGCGAGGTGGTGTTGAGAATCTTGAAGGGAATCGAGTCGAATGGAATCTCCTAATGCCGGGGATTGAAGAGAGGGAGATCAGCAGTTCTGCAGTCATGAGGAAAGTTGTTGTCAAGACCGGTCTTGTAGACTATGGGTACAGCGAATGAGAGGTCCGCGTGGACTTCGCTTGCAACTGACGTGGATGCAGAGACGAAGGAGCGACGTGTGTATTGGCGGCGGGTTGGTCACAGATTCAGGGTGAATCAGTTGGATGGCTCTGCGGTCCAGGCTTGCAGCCAGGATCACAGCTTTCTTGTCAGAATATGATCCGCTGTTGCAATCCATCCCATGTCCTCGTAAGCGTTGGGCTGCCGCCATTAATTTGTCGTTCTTTCATCTTATAAGCCCACCTCGCGGCACATTCTCAAATCATCGATAGGAGTTTTCTGTGTGTAGATCGAATGCAACTATATTGCAGAAATTTCGAAGTGGCTCGAACAGACTAACTAAAACCATGTACAAGAAAGCGCCCCCACAGTTCTGTCAATTTGGAACACATAATGACACTGCAGTAAATGACTGGAAACATGCTATGGCTCTGTCCTCATTCGTCCGACCATTGCTATGGTGACCAACTCTTACGCTGGGGTATCAAAATCTTCATGGCACGCCCTCTATTTTCGTGTCGTAGACTTGAAGATCATCAAGTACAGTACACGTACCACAATCTCCTGGCGACCTTCTGTAGAACAAAGTTTTTTTATGCTTCGTACATGTTTGTCTTTGAGGGGCAACTTCTGTTTGAAGCTCCCTTGAGGCTCTACCATGAGGCATCGTCCATATATGTTAGGGAATCAAGCCCATGCAAAGCTTTATATTTTCATTTTGCTTTCCGAAGATGTTTCATCCTAAAAAAACGCAACACTACTTCCTTCCCTTCTCCCGATGCACGTCTCCTCTTCTGTGATTGCATCAAGCATCGGCTTTTTTTGGAGTGGGTTTGTCCGGCTAAAACCGATACACGTGCACAGTAGACGGCTCCCCACCATCCATCAAGTCTGCGCTTCACTTCGTTTGTCTTGAGTATGGGGCATGGGAAGGATATGACAAGAAAATACAGACATATAATGTGCTTGTTTCAGGAGCCGAGAATGTTTTTGTTCCGTAAGTCAATACTTTTATCAGTGATACTGTAGTTGCCAAGTGATTCCTGCTTTTAATTTGAAGTCGGTCAAGAGAGGCATGTTTACCTTCCATCTTGCTTCTGAAATTTTCAGCAACACTTGTGAAAAGCGACTTTCAGTTTCATCATGGAATTAGAAAGAAATGCTATATCTTTTTTTTTAGTTGTCTTTCTTTAGAGCAAGCAACTGGGATATTTAGTTGAACAATGTTACCAGTAGATAGCAGACAAGTAAGCTGTCTTTTGATGGGAACCTGTAGCCGGATGTTTAAATAACAATCGTAGTCACGATTTCTCAACAGCGCAGAGGCATCTCAGTGCAGTGGTTTGACGGCTGGGTCAATAATAACCACTGCCCCCGGGTTCGTGGGTTCGATTCTTAGTGGCATGTATCGTGAAGAGCGGCGTTTAAATGCAGGTATATTTCAACTACCTTGCATCGCATGTGTGCGAAATGCCGCCTGGGGATCGGACGCCACTCCCGGGGATGCTCTTTTGTTACTTTTTGGCTTCATCTTGCGATGCTCTCTTGGTCTGTACGCGGCCCGGATATGCCATTAAGATGGTGTATTGTTTGCTATTATGTATTGCTGATACAAGTTACTTGTTTTCGAGAAAGAAAGAAAGCTTGTGTACGAGGTTGACCTTTTTCGCTGTGCTTTTTTACATATGAAGCAATACAGAAATTTGCTTCTTTTGTTAACCTGCTCGTGAAGATCGACGTATACGGTGATAAATGTGTCCAGGAAGTCCTTCCTGGGCTCAATTTGTAGGAAGTGTTGACAGATATTCCAAATGATCCAACGTGCTTTGAGCTATCATGAGAAGCACTAAAGAATATGCGGTGGAAAGCCACTGCACTAGTTTATGCATACGATTAGATGCGTACGTTTTTGAATAGCATCTTTCTCAACCTTCGTCTAGACAAACGTGGTCTTTAACTGCTTTTCTGAACTGTACACACTGTACAGTACCGACACTGTTGCGAGATTACTGAGATCTCTTTCTCGAGAAAAAGTGCATTGCTGCATACATTGCTGGTTAGTGAGCCGATTTTTTGTGCTGAGGTGAGAGCCCGTCCCAACACAGCATATCACATCAGTGGCAATCGCGCAGAGCCTCCTGATTGGTTGCTGCTGATACAAATATTAACATGGCAGTCTTAGTAAGAGGTAGTAAGCGCCCTTTCTCCTGGAGTGTAAGCCTCACAGAAAGGCAATTTCATTGGACAACAAATAGATTGAGACAACTCAAAAGCAAGCGACCACAGTAAAAACGGTCTCAAACGCGCTGAACAGAGTCAGTAAAATGCCCAGCGGAAAGTGGGGATGATCTCCCCAACATCACGCTATCATCCGTGCATCAAACCGTCTCCCGTCTAGCACCACCTTTTGTCGACTCCACCTCCATATTATCTCCAGCACTCCTGGATGCCATATCCCCCTTCACACCCTTTTTCAACCGAATATCGCTGGCGCATATCCCACCTCATGAATAGAGACGAAATCACGTTCTTATCTGTAACTTCAATTTATACCGATGAGGAGTTTCCGGCGCATTCCGAATGCCTCGTCCCATCTTCGCCAAATTGTTGCGACTTATTCAGTGTAAAATTCAGAAAAACATTGAGATGGGTCAAAGGTCAAAGAGAACAACCGTCATGCCAGATATGCGCCTCGGAATCACCCTACGCCTACTAGCTGGAGCAGATATGTGGGACCTCATATCAAGCTACCACGTGAGGAAATCTACTATCCACAGGATTTTTGAGGACACTGTAAGTGTGCTAAATGTGGTCCTCCGGCTTCCTGGACTGCCAAAAAACAAGAGGAGATCTCTATACATCATCAATCGCTTTCAAAACCTCTAGAAAAACACTTAGTCCGTTGGACGGGTGTGTCGGGGCTCTAGATGGTCTTGCAGTTAAAATCACTAAACCAAAGGAGGAAGAAAACCCCGCGTCGTACTACAACAGAAAAGGGTTTTACGCCGTTTGTGTGCAAGCTATGGTGGACTCCAATTATTTTTTTCTGACACACTCCTGTCCCTGCGTGGGTTCGACTCATGACTCGCTCAGTCATGAGACCTCATGTTTAGGAAGATATCTCCAGGAAGGCCGTTTGTGCGAAGAATTTTGGATAGCCGCTGATGAAGCATATTTGTTCACTGAAACTGTCATAACACCTGTATCAAGCTCTCAGGTTACAGAGACAGAAGATGCGTTCAATTTCTACCACTTGTCACTACGAATACACGTAGAGCAGGCCTTTGGGGTTTTAGTAGCCAAATGGGGCATTTTGCAAAGGCCCTTGCGTTTCGCAGTACGGAAGTCATCACGAATTGGGTGCACTGCCATGAAGATACACAATTTCGTTGTCGATGAAGGCGGTTCGAGGCGAGAAGGTATGACAGCAGTGGAGTTTAGACACGTTTACACAGAAAGCTTGGGGTGGCACAGACAAATGACGCGGTCAGCAAACACAGGAAGGGAAACAGGACGAAGAATGGCGGGTTCGAGAAAACGTGACAGTCTCATAGATCTGGTAAAGACAAAACGATTGGAACGACCTCCTGTACGCCAACGCCACAAATAAATATTCGTCCCCCTCTACAAGTAGTGCTGCAATTGGATTATTCGAAATGGTTGACGTGCGAAGCTATAAAAGGTCATGACCTTCTAGACAAGGTGGGGCGCTGGTGATACTGAGGAAGGGACACGAACAGAAATGGAACGAGGTACGCAAGGAGAAAAGTTGAAAGATGGGAATGGAGTGGAAAAGGGGAAGCTGGGATTGACTAAGGTGAGATGGAGCTGTAGTTCAGGACGGGGAGCTGAGACTGTGAGGATGGCGAGGGAAGCAAGAAGCTGCAGTTGGTGAGGGAGCCAGGATGGTGGAGATGGTGAGAGAGAACTAAAGCCGAAGATGGGAAGGGAGGGACGACTCTGGGGATGGTCAGGGAGAAAGAGAGCTGAGAATGGTGAGAGAGGGGGGAGACAACAGTTGGTGAGGGAGATAAGAAGCTGCTTTTAATGAGGGAGATGGCAAGCGGAGTATGGAACTGGAGGGACGACTCTGGGGACGTTCCGAGAGAAAGAGAGCTGCAGATAAAAAGGGAAGCAGGAAGTGGCGGTTTTGAAGGAGAGGGGAGGCTGAGAATGGTGAGGGAGGGGGGAGCTGCAGTTGGTGAGGGAGGTAAGAAGCTGCGTTTTTTGAGGGTGATGGCAAGCTGAGGGTGGGAAGGGAGGGACCACTCTGGGGATGTGAAGAGAGTTAGGAAGCTGGTGCTAGTGAGGTAGAGAGAGACAGAGAAAGAGAGAGAGACAGAGAAAGAGAGACAGACGGAGAGACAGAGAGACGGAGTAAGTGAGATATGGGAATGGTGGGAGAGGAAGAGAAAGGAGGAGTTTGCAAGTGGGGACGCACGAGTGGATGTTGATGATCATTCGATTTGTTGCTACAGTAGTGTGAAAGACCCACTCTATTTGTACATTTTTTTACATCTCATTGTTTGTGCTGACCTTCTGCTTTAATGTAATTAGCCTAAAATATATATCTTAAGGTCTTAAATATAAAGGGGGGTTGCTGGTGTTGTCGGACAGTGACAAAAAAATCGGACATGCAAAATATTTTGAAAAATATCTCCGACACGGGCCAAGGAGCACCGCCGCGCGTAACGGCGCCAGATAGTGCACCGTATATCAGAACGACGTGGTTGAAATTAAAGAAAAAATATCTCAATCGATTGCTTACGGCTTTCTACGTATAAGTGTGCAACAACCCAAAAATACAAAATAGGCGGACTTTTCTATTTTTTATTTATTTGCTTGGATGTCCGATCTTAGTGCTCGGTTGAGGTGCAAAAGTGTCCGCGCGCTTCAATATCACTCCTCTTCTGTGTCCGTGGTTGTTTTCGCCAAGTCCCAGTGGACGACAGGCTGAGAGTGTCCCCGTCGCAAAACATAAAAAATGGTGATTGCTTGACAATTACAAGTACTTTTTCCTTTTAATATTGAGGTTTTTGTCCGACGTCTCCGGCACCCCCCCTCTATACTATCAATGTCTTTCACGTGGGCACCTCGCAGTGACCAATTATATGGCCTAACTTGATATCGGAAAGAAAGGCATGGTTATGTTGGGACGGGCTCTGAGTGGCGCACACATGTATAGACGTCATTACAGTATGACGTGCTGATGAATTCGCGGATGCTTTTTCTGAAGAAAACATAGCTGTGTAAGCGGGACTGAATTCAAGACGCTTCGCAGTACAACAAACCGCCTACGTCCTTTACAGTGCCCACGCAACTCGCAACCCACAAGTGAACTCTGCGGACATGTGCGGCGCACTCCCAGACTGCTCGTAACTGAGAAACGCACCGGGCCTCCCGCTGGGCCAACTCTCATGGTCCTTACGTCCCAAGCCAGCAGGGCCGCCTCTCTCACCAGCACACGCACCGTACCCTTGGGACTGTTCCCGCTTTGGTCCTCCGCAGCGATCCCGTCGCCACATGTGTGCCACCAACCCTCAACAACTGTTGCAACAACTGCGGGCCCCTCTACGCCCTCTGTGCATGGGCACTTCGTCTCGGTACCCAACGCACCAAAAATAACAACCGTCGGCCCTAACCGGTGCACTCGCGTCTTGTCCGCGCAGCTCCACGCGCACTCCCCTACGAGGACCAGGCACGAACGTGGCGCACCCAATCCCCACCAAACTGATCGCTCCCTCGGCCCTCCTCACGTGGACACGTTTTCAGTACCTCCAGTTATGCCGCACACCAGAAACCTTTACGTGTACACTGGCTCATATATGGTGCCATCTGATCAGCCGCAACCTGCTGCATGCGGGACGAAGAAGCCCCAATCCATAACGTGGAGGGTCATCGCTGCGAACGCACGCATGCATTTCCAACCAGCACGTGCAGCCGGGTTCGTCGTCCTCCAAGACGTAAAGCCTGCGGATTAGCGCCGCCCGGCGATACCACCCGTGCAGTATAAAAGCCGGCCATGCCCCTGCGAACCTTTGACGTACCGCACCATTCGTCTGCACCTGCCCAACAACTATGCACACCCCCTTCACAATGAGCGTTCGGGCTCTCTTCCCCGTCCTCCTCCTCCTGCTCCTGGGGAGAACGCAGGCCATGAGCAACCCGCGGTTCTTCGCTGCCAGATGCCTCGCGCTCGGGAAGCGGTGCACCGCCGCTCTAGAGCGGAAGTCTGGGTTGTGCGCTGCCGCGACGCGCCCATGGCGGCAGGAGTTTGAGTGCTTTGAGCTGGCGTGTGAATGGTGTGCGCTGCCCGGGCGCGCGACCAAGTCTCCGTGCTCCGTGGGGCGCGTGCCCAGAATCTGTGAGTACGTGCAACGGAGGAGCGAGCGCGAGAAGCGTCGTATGGCTATGGAATCAATGGAGGCAGAGCCGAGCATGGCCGCCGAGCCGAGCATGGGGCCTGGCATGGGGGCCGAGCCCAGCTTGGATGCGATGCCGGGCATGATGTCTGGCCCGAGCATGGATGCCACGCCGAGCATGATGGCTGTGGCGAGCATGGATGCGATGCCGAGCATGACGCCCGAGCCCAGCATGGATACGATGCCGAGCGCAATGGCCGAGCCCAGCATGGGAGCTGCGCCGGGCATGATGGCGGAGCCCAGCATGAGTGCGGCGGCCAGCATGGTTGGCGAGCCGAGCATGGGCCCGTGCGCATACCGCGGAGTAGACCGGGTAACAATTGGGATGGGGACTCTCCCTCCGCGCGACGGATGGACGCCAGTATCACGGGGCGGTATGGATGGGCTCGTGTGGGAGGCGGGTGGTGGCGGAGGCATTGTGCGCGGCGGGAGTCGCGGGGTGTACTGTTTCGACATCCGTCTGGAGACGGCAGGTGACTATTACCTGACGGCCGTGACCGCCGCGGAGGAGCGGACTGAGCACAACGACTGGTGGATGAACTCGGATTTGGGCTTCCGTCTGCTGCGCGGGAGTGAAACCATGACCGTGGCGCCGGGCAAGTGGACCAAGGGCTATCAGAACAAGGGCGCCTTCGAGATTCATAACAGAATCTCTAGCGTCGACGGTACTCCGCATTCCTTCCTCGTGCCGGATGTGGACGGGCAGGTTGAAGTGTGCGTGGCAGCGCGCAGCACTAGGTTTGAAGCTTACAAAGTGGTGTTGGCCAAGTGCGTTGGCGGGTGCACCCCGAGCGACATGGCCGGCAAGCTCGGCCTGAGGACGCTGACAATGTGCACGTGAGCGGTGTGTGGATGGGAAGGTGCGGATCAGGTGAAAATAGCAATCTTTACGAAGTACGATCATACACGTATACTGTACATGGAAAGCAGTTTGGGAATGTTAAGGTGGAGGAGTGCCGCAAATAATGCCGCATTACAGAGTGGCGGCTAGAGTATCTAGCACGATGTGCACAGCAATTCAATTGGCTGGGCGAATCGCCTGACAAACTTTACGACTGTAGCCACCGTTGCCGCCGGACCTTTCGCCCCCTCCTTCGCGCGGGGCCTCGCGCGAGCGGGACTCAACCAGCCCAGTCGGCCGCCGCACGCGGCCGTTCGCGCCTCCTGCGTCGCGACCGCGTTCTCTTGCGTCGCGACCGCGTCCTCTGTCAGCGAGCGCCTGCCACGTCGCGCGCGCGCACCCGCTCGCGCTCGCGTGCACGTACCTCGTGCGCGCCGTCCCATTGGCGGCACGGTCGCCGCAGCCCAACGTGGCACGCGCGCCGCCGCCGACGTGTCCACGCGACCGTCGTGACGTCAGGGTCGCGCGTCAACGCCGCGGAGAGCCGACCCCGCTGCCCGCCGCGCGCGCGCGCCGCACCGCCGCTCCGCCGCTCCGCCCTGGACTGTACGCACAAACCCGCGCGACGTGAATTTCGCGTCCGCCAAGCGGGCCCCGCTCGCCACGTAGAGGTGCGCGCGCCGGAAACACTGCGCGGCACAGCGCGCGCGTTCGGGGAGCTCGTTGGGGGTTTTCGGGAGACCACACGTAAAGGAACCGGTACGGGGCTGGGCGCGATGCACAGTAGGTAATGGAAAGGAAGGAAGAATTAATGGGTGTGCCCAGGAGGGGCGTAGGGCTAGGGACAGGTGTGGTAAAATTCCACACCGCGACCCCCCGGTGGGAGATGAGAACCGTCGAGACGGG